GGGATCGAACTCAGGACCTTGTGTTTGTGAGGCAGGGCGTGGTTCCACTGAGCTAAATCCCCAGCCCTGTCAGATATATATTCTGAGCTCCTTATTTTGACTTAATGCATAGAAATGATCTCTTCTACAACAATCACAAGGGTTATAACTTCTGTTCAAAGATGGCATTTTCTAAGAGTTATATGTTGATGTTGCTATCTGTTCAGTAACATTAAGGGATATTTCATTGGTTATTATTTTATAAACTGATTACTGTTGGGTGTTTTTCTTAATTTAAACCATCTTTTATATAATCCATACTTGAGCTGTATGGCTTTGACAGGCTGAGTCATCCATGACCACAAAACTTATTAGTTGAGTATTAGGAACTAAAACATCTGACCTGTTGTTCTTGTGCTTTTGGTAGGGCTTATCTGTTACCCTACAGTAATCTGGTTTCCAGATTGAAGTGAACTACAATTATGGTTATATGTTAAAAATGCCTTACATATAGAGCTTATAAGTGAGAGCTATTAGGTTATAGTGGAAAGGGTGCTGGTGTTAGAACTATAGATCTGATTGCCAGTGGTGCTTGCTACATACTGTAAACTTGAGGAAGTCAACCTCTCTGGGCCTCTTTTTCATCTGCAGTATGGAAATAACGATACTACTTGGCTTAATTGACCTGGCTATCTTAAGTTGTGAGGTTCACATGTAGTAATGTGTTAAAAGTACTTCGTGAACAATAAGATAAATGTCATGGCTACATTAGCTCATTTAAAATAGCTTTAAAAAGTATGACCAACTTAAAAAAATGTATTCTCTGTTTGCAAGGAGCTAGCAGCAATGGTGAAGTTGACTGTGTCCCGTTCAGGAGTTAGATCTCATTTATTGTTAGAGCAAAGTTTTCACAACTGCTTTTTCAATTCTAGATGAAGCCATTTTAATTAATTAGAAGTGGTCAGTGTTTATACTTCAGTGGATTTGTTTCTGTTACTAAGAAAATTGTTGCTTTATGCTTGTGTAGAATATTTAATTCATTATTAAAAAAACAAAACTAAAACATATATATAAAGAGTCTAAGGAACTGTTACCTCATCCTTACTGATTTGAAATTGTTCAGCATTAGAATTAGAAAACCATGTGTTAAACCATTAGTATTAACTTAAAATAATTTGAGTCTGGTTTTCATGGCTTCTGCTGTACCTTCATTGACAAGGATGCATTCCATCAGTGTTTCATCTTTCTGTTGTAATGCAGTGTTATGTTAGACTGAGGAAATGGCTGATCTAAGTTATAAGTATTTTATGAGAATATTTGTTTATGCCATTCTTTCCTTTCTAGAATATATATATTTTATGACTCTTTTTGGTCGATTTGAGCTTGTTTTAGATTACTTTTGTTTTTCTGATAAAATTTTCCAAAGAGTAGTATTGTTGTTCTGGCTGTGCTTTTAAAATCAGTTTGGGTTTTGAGACATTAACTGTTTATAAGGTGGCATGCATGTATGACAAGCATAATCATTAATGTACTGCAAAGCCTGTGTTACATTAATGTTTACATCTAAACTTCACAAAAAAATCTTTTTTAACTCCTTACTCAGTTGCCACCAGCACAGAAGGGTAAATTCCTCTAAGAAGACTTTCCATACAAGTGGCAGTCAATCACAATTCAGAATTTTCACATTCTTATTTAGAGATTGTATGTCATTTTTATAGGTCTGGGAAATATATTCTGATAAAGGGGAGAAGTTCTTTTTGATGCTTCCCTTTTCTGGCCTCTTTAAATTCTTCTCACTTCTGTTTTCTATGTTTCTCATTTCCTTCTGTTCCTATCCTTTTGTTTTCATTCGAGTTTTTATTTTTCTTTGCTCTTTTCTCTGTGTGATTTATTTGTCTATGTGTGCATGTTGCATGCTTGTGTGTTTTGTCAGTACTTTAGACTAATTCACCTCAGAAATCTCTGGTACTTAGGAATTTATTAGTTTCTTAGGGTCAGATACTTATTCAAAAAATCTGTGAGTTCTGTTCTGCCTGAAGAAATAACCAAGAACTGAGGGATTGGTTTATCTCTTTTAGAACTAACTTCATAGCATTCTTTTTTGGTTTTGCAGGGAGAAATGGATTTCAAGCTCACTTATAAACCAGTAAAAAGTCAGCTAAACTAGTAAACTTTTATTTCTTCTGTATTTGGAACATTGTTTCTTTATCAAGTTTATCTTCTTTCACCTGAAGCTTATTATTGGTTGGTGGGCACAGGTGTCATTAAGCCAGAAGAGCAGGCTTTTTGGAGCTTACATTTCCTGCTTTGGACAGAAATCTTTAAGGCCAGAGAGGTAATTGTAATAGCTGAATATCTATGGCTTATTTTTCTCTTTTTAAAATAAACTTCTTTGATCAGATTGTAGTACTTTTTCTCTCTTATTTTGCTTGAACTTTTGCGTATGTGGTTCTGTCTGGTTTCAGATGGCTGACAAGATACAAATGAGTTATTTTTCCATAATTACTTTTTTGTTTTTTTTGTTTTTGGTATTTGAGACAGGATTTCATCGTGTAGTTTAGGCTGGCCTTGAACTCATGGTGATATTCCTGTTTCAGCCTCCCAAGTTCTGGGATTACAGATATGCACCACCACACCCAGCTGCCATAATTAGTGTTAAAGAAAATTACTGTGGTACCAAGTGAAGGCTTTCTGCCAAATGCTTTATCATTTTGGCAGTGTCCTAGTTCAGCAGCAGAACTTCCTAAAAGCAGTTAAATTCTAGATGAATTGTGAGTTTTTCTTGAAAACTTGGTGGTTTTAAGCATCTTTATTGCCAAGAGCTTTTAATAATAAGACTCATGTATTTGAGAAGTTTGATCTCATGTTGGTAGGCCTCTAGAATTCCTTCTAGCTTCTCTTACACATTTATACTATGTAAGAAAACAATTTGAAGGGTGATAATATTTTTTGTGAGAAAGTGTAATATTAGTTTAGGGAAATTCCTACTTTTAAATTCTGGGACTTGACTTTTTTCCCCCAGACTCTTTCATTCTCAGTAAAAATAGTAATTTAGAGATCTTCATTTAATAACATAGAAATATCAAAGAAAAGAGTTTTAAAACTTGTCTCTTGAAATTTTTTGAATGTCCTTCTTCTGTAATTGCCACCAGAAGGTGAAAAAAGGCTAAGATGTAAGCACAGATAGTTAAAAATAAGCATATTTCAGTGCCTGTAAACATTAGAAGATGCTTATTGAATCTTGTTTTAGTGGTAGAGTGTATTAGTGTTGCTTATGGAACATATGGCAGCACGCGACCTCAGTCTCCTCTCTTGTCTCTTGGGGCATCAGATTCTTCAGCTTTAAAATGCAAGAATTGCATTAGATGATCTGTAGAGTTCTGTTTTCAAAATTCTATGAATCCCTCAGAGTTTGCCTTTTCTTAAAATCCCATGATTATGATTTGTTTTCTTGCCCTTAAAATTGCAACTGGAAATGAGGACAGGCAAACACTGTCTTCTAGAAGAGGTTTATGATGAGAGCTTATTTGAAGTACCATATTTCTGCTTAAGTGATCTAAATATATGTAGCCTATATTTTAAATTTTCTTTGAATAAAATTCTCAATTTTTTCCCCTCCTGGAACTTTAAGTATATCTTTTTATAAGGATCACATTTTCAGAAGCTGTTGCTTTATTATTTATTGAATTTTAAGGTTTCTAAATTTTTGTGACTTCTGATTATTATTTCAGTTAGAATTCATGTTGAAATAGCACAGACTAATAAGCAAAACTTGTCCATATTGGTTCATCTTACTAGTTTTGGCATGTTGAAACCTATGAAGTAGTCTAACATGATAGGAATTTATGTAGGTACACCTTTTCCCCCATATTTTTATAGCTAATTGTGTCAAGACCATTTGCATGATTTTTAAGTGACCTGAGCTTGAACAGGAGAGAAAACTGTGCCTGACTGTATCTTCATGCTCTTCTGATAAGTTCTTGAAGGTTCCGTTCTAGAGTTCGTGTTAATTTCTCATGGCTTCCAGATACTCATGTCCAGTGATCTTAGCAAATAATCTGGAGTCTAATGATAGACTTTTCAAGGATTTCACATGATGGTTATTTTTGGACTTTCAGAACATTTCTACTTTTTCTTGACCTCATTTTGACTGTTTCTTACTTTTGATAATGCTGCTTGGAAACTGATAGTAGTGGTATTGGTGAATAGAAGAAAAAATAGAAAATTAATATAAAATATTTCTTAGATGTAGTAATTTTCTATTTTTTCCTCCTGATTTAGTTTTTAGTTCAGATACTATAACATGCTAGTTAAGGCTGGGTCTTTTAAAGTGTAGCTTTGGGATTTATTTAGTTTGATCAGTACTGCAATCAGAATATTCACAAGAACTTCTCACCTTGTGTAAATATGACTTTTTTTTTTAACATTTTGAGAAAAATAACCTCAACATGAATGTTTTTGTTTCTGAACTTGCTATTGGAGATGCGTCATCTTCCTGTGAAGACTTGCTTAAAAATTAAAAGTTTTGACAGCATGGCTCATCACAAATAGTAATGTTCAAAGACTAGTTTAATGAGATTTTTTGCAGTTCTGGTTTTGCACAGGGCGAGAATCTCTTAGGCCATTTTCTGATTGCTTTATATTTTTATTTTTATTTTTTTTAAAGCTGTGTTATTTTTTAGTTCTTCATGCTTTGGAAGTAACAGTTGAAGAGAGGTGAGGAAAGTTTGTGAAAATTGTGATCGGTGATTAGCTGCCACCTGCCTGAGGTGTCTTCTGAGAGGAACTAACCTCTTTGTGGTGCTAGAGCAAGGTCACTGGATTAAAAAAAGAACAGGTAACCATCTTATTCCTTGTCTGAAAAGTTCTGTTTTAAAATTAATAAATGCAAAATATTCAAAGTAACGTGGATGGCTATTTAAAGAAAGCTTTCATTTTTCTCCTCAGAAACTAGTAAAGTGGACTATGTCCTTTTCCAAGCTGCCACTGCCATAATGGAGGCAGTCGTCCGAGAGTGGATTCTTTTGGAAAAAGGCAGCATTGAGTCCCTGCGAACATTCCTCTTAACCTATGTTTTACAGAGGCCCAAGTAAGTACATGGTGAAGAGACTGTTCAAATACTTTGCCTAGCTTCTATGTCTGACCTTTGAGAGCTTGTTTGAGCTTTTTAATGGTTGATATTTGTGGTTAAGCAGTATGTGAGGCTCATATTTTAAAGAATACACATCTGATTATAGGTTGTTTTCATACTTAATGAGACAGTATCTTTTATTTGAGCTTGTGATACTGGGTTTTGTTTCTTGGAAAAGATTGTGCTGGATGTTTCTTTTGGTAGTTGTAGAGTTCTAAAGAATTTGGTTATAAATAAAAATTGATTTTAGTTATTTCTTTTTAACATGTTTTAAGTTTAGAATGGGTAAGTATTATAAGTAGGTGAGTATCCCACCACAACAGAGAAAATTAGAGGGAAATTAAGTACCATTATCAAAGCTAATGTTATCTATATATATAAAAATATCACATAGGAAATAAAGCATCAAGTTGTTAAAATTTCATTTGAAAAAAGGATCAGACTTGAGGAAGGAGGTGAAAGTGAAGTTTCGTTTTACATTGCATACGTATGTAATGTTTAAAATTTTACAAGACTGTATACATTTATTGCTTATATGATTGTTTTGTTTTTGTATGATTGTTTTTAAAAAATGTAAGGAAAGGTATTATCTATACAGTTTTGGGGGTGAAATTGATTTGCTACTTATCTTTTTGTTTTTTTAAGTCTCCCAAACATCAGCTGTTCTTTTAAGAATAGGCCAATGTATGGGCCGAGGATTTAGCTCTGGTTTCGCCGCCTGCTGCGCAAGCGCAGGGACCCGAGTTCGATCTCCGGTACCAAAAAAAAAAAAAGAATAAGCCATTGTATATTGATGCTTGCTGTTTGTGCATTTGAATACTTCAAATACTTAATTTCAGATTCAATGAAAAAAAGGTTATATAATCAGAAATGTGTACTTAGAAATGGTATTAATGGAGCTAAACATATACAAAAAAGTTTAAATTTTATACTATCATGCATTTGTTCCTACCAGCTGTCCACTAGCAGTCTTGGAATTTATATCATTTAATAATAATTATTGACTTAAATTCAGCACTTAGTTAATTGATAGTTTACACAGAAAAATTTGTGAGAGAAAAAAGCACAAGTTTATGTAGGTTTTAGCATGAAAGTTTTATCAGATAATGTGTCCTATAGATTACTGTATGTATCTGCTGAAGAGGTTATGGCTTACTTTTCTGGTTTTAGTAGAATCAGAGAGATTTGCTCCTGGTTTTAAAACTTTCTCTTCTCCTTTATACTGGATTGATTGACTTCTTGATTTTCTTTTTTTTTTTTTTTTTTTTCTTTAATTTTTGGTTTTTAGAGACAAGGTCTCATGTAGTGCAGGCTAGCCTGGGACTCAGTATGTAGTCCAGGCTGGCCTTGAACTTGTGGTGATACTCCTGCCTCACCTCTCCGGGTGCTGGAATTACAGGTGTACGCCATTAGCCCCAGAAATGTCTTGATTTTTGTTTGTTTGGTGAGACTGTCTGAATGTGATACTACCTTGCCCTTTTGTTGTTTCCATTTGGCTATATTTGCTAGACCTGACAAGACTGTCTTTCTACCCCTCTGTAAAGTAAAGGTAAATATAAGTAAGTAGAAGTCTTGACAATGTCAGCAAATTGCATTATTTTGTTCATTTTTTTATATACACTATGACTTCCATACATTAAAATTGCTATTATAGATTCAACATGGAAGAGATACTTATTTTGTTGAATTTTACTAAAAGTGGTGTTTTGGATCATATCTGTATGCTAGCAAAATATTTTGAAATCAATTTTGAGTGTGTATTTGTAGTTGAACAGAGGTTGAGAGAAAACTTTAAAAAAAGAAATAAAAAAAGAAAAAAAAAGAAAAAGAAGCCTAGTGATGCTTGTGTTTATATTAGTTTACATGTAGGAAGTTACATGTAGGAAAAAATTTTTTTTTGGTGGCGCTGGGATTGACCCCTGGGCCTTTGCAGTGAACTATGTTCCTAGTCCTTTTTTATTTTTTACTTTGAGACATGGTCTCACTAAGTTGCTAAGTTATCCAGTCTGGGCTTGAACTTGTGATCTTCTTGCCCCAGCTTTCCAGAGTGCCGAGATTCTAGGTATGTACCATCATCCCTGGTTTGTAAGAAGATAAAAAAATATTTGCCCTGTAGGCCTGTTTTTTGATGTGCAGTCTATTGATGGTAATTGTTATAAATTGGTAAACGGACATAAAATCTAACATTCTGGTTTTTTACCTGTAGAGCAGAGGCTTGGTACCTACCTTATGTGGTTGGGGTCAGGATCACAAGAGACAGTTCTGGAGTCCTGGTTCTACAGGCATCACTGTGGTCCAGTCTTTTGCAAGGAATCAGGGTCACAGGGAGTATCTGACCCCTAGACAGGTCTCTTCCTGGAGCTACCTATACATCATTTTTTCCAACCTAGGAACCCCAGGACTCTGCCTTCTTGATAGAAGCAAATATGTGACAGGTTTTTATTGTGTTTTTGTGTATTTTCTTACATTATAAAAATAATTCCATTTTTAAATAATTTTAATTAGTTCAGAAATTATTTTAGACTTAATTGTAGGGTTCACTATTGAAATAGTACACTTAATTATTTTTCCTAAATTTTTTTGAAAATTTTTTTTAAACTTTCAGCAAAATTGAAAGAATAGTATGGTGAACATGTACACACACTTTTCCTAGTAGAGATTCAGTTAACACTTTGTTGTATTTGATTTCTCTCTTATGTTATATGCATGTTTTCATAGTATGTCTGGCATAATGATGCATGCTTGCTTGCTTTCTTCCTTTCTTTTTTTTTTTGTTTTAGATAGTGTCTCACTATGTAGTTCAGGGTAGTCTTGAACTTACTCTGTAGCCCAGGCTAGCCTCAAACTTGCAGTGATCTTCCTACCCTTCTGAGTGCTGAGATCACAGGTGTGCATCACCACACCTAGCTGCTTCATTATTAAATACTTGAGCAGGCCTGTCTTTCAAAGCATAATCTCGGTACTACTGACATAATTGGTATATTATCTGAGATAATTTTGATTCCATTATTTGAATTCTCCAATTGCCTGAATAATATTATTTATATGCTTTTGCCTCTTAGTTATTTTTGGTATTGCCGTCCACTTCTTAATATGTATTAATATTTGCTTTATATATTTAGATACAAAAATTATTTTTATTTATTTTAGTACTGGAGATTTGAACCCCAGGTCTCTTGTATGCTAGGCAAGTGCTACACCACTGAGCTACATCCCTAGTCCTAATATTTTTAAAGACAAGGTCTTGTTTATTTGCAAAAGCCTTGCATAATAGCTTAGTAAATGTTAGCTATTACTTATTTTCTAAAACTTCTAATTCTTGCCAGTACAGATATTTAAAATTAGCTTTATGTACATGTCTAGTAGGGGCCTTCAGCTTTCTCTGTACATTTTCTGAAAGTATTCAGTCTGTATTTTGTCCCTTGAAAAGTACAAAAAATTCCTTTTAGTCAGTTAACATTCTTGTGCATTAAGAAAAATCTGTATTTCCTTAATAAATGAAAGATGAATGGTTCAAGTCCGTGTTTTGAAAAAATATTTTTCACTTCAGTCTTGACATAGGGAGACATGTTTATGCATTTTCATAAATGTCTAACAAATGTCTGTTATATGGCAGGTGATATGTTCTACGTATACTAGCTTGCTTACGAGTGGGCGGTTGGTCTGGGAGATTGAGTTAAACAGTACTAACAAATGTGTTTTGTCGTGTGCAAGTGACTTAGGAACTCTTGGTAATACCTTTCTGGAGAAAATGACATCACAGGCTTGGCAGAGGAAATAGAAGTTCAGAGGGCTTGGCCCATAAGAGCACAGAGCCAGGAGCTGAATGAAGTTCAGCATGCCTGTTGTGTTGCATGTACATGGAATGAGTGAGGTCAGAGAAGGGAGCAGGCTCTTGGCCATGAAGGGCCTTTAAGATGGTGCACATAGTATGTAATTTACGTCCAAACTGGGACACTTTGAAAGAAAAAATAAGTGGTAGACAATAGGCACATTGGGACTGTTCCAGGAAATTCAAGGATGGGTATTGTTGCTTATCAGCCATGGGAAGTGGTGTAAGTTTATCCCAAGGACACATGGTTGTTGTATCTTTGTGGCATTTGGGAAGCTATATTATAAAATTCATGTTTTCTGAGCTTTTTTTTAAAGGAAATGTTGTGAAAAGGCATTTAAGTCTTGGCTCTTTATGGTTTAATGGGCTTTGTAGAATGCCCCAACTTGGAACAGGTGCTTCTGCCATCACACAGAGGAACAGAATGTTTCCATTGTATTTATACCTTGGATAGCTATCATTTTGCCCTGTCACATTAAAAGGCAGTAGAAGTTATGATTACATAACTTGGAGGTGAATATTAGATCAGAATTTTATCTTAATCATACTGGACCCCCCTCCCCATATTTAACATCTATTGAACATTGCTTTAAGCATTCAATGTACACATTGGGCACAGTCCCAGGGACATGTACTCTATAGCTTTGTTAGTGTTATCTCCATTTTATGGATGAGAAAACTGAGACTTTTAAGTGCTGTCTTGCGTAGGGTCACAGATTCAAACCCACATCTTCTGACTTCAGAGTCTGTACATAACCAGTACATTATACTATATTCAGCGATATTATTAACTTTGGGCTTAGTGAAAAATTTTGGAGTATTTTTACGTTAGATTTAGGTAAGTATTTTCACAGTGATTTTTATGTTTTACAGCCTTCAAAAGTATGTTCGGGAACAGATTCTATTAGCAGTAGCAGTAATTGTAAAACGAGGATCATTAGATAAATCAATTGACTGCAAAAGCATTTTTCATGAAGTCAGCCAGTTGATAAGTAGCGGCAATCCCACTGTGGTAAGTATGCTCTTTGTATTTATGAGTACTAGAAAAGCAGTATGGATATTTACATAAAAGAAAAAGTATACAAGCTAATAAAGCAGTTTTCATTTGTTCACATTTTCTGATCTTTTTTGCATATATTTTGCCTTTTCTTTTGATCTGTTTTTCTCTGTTGCCAGTGTTCATAATCATTACTTTAATTGGTTACAAAATAGAGGGTAATATGCTATAATATTCTTAACCATTTCTATGAACATTCCTCCATTTTTAATAAACTTTAAGTACTAATGATTACAATAATGTTTGAATTAAATTTGAAATGATATCACATAACATTTTGTTTGTTTGGTTTTGAGGTTTTTGTTTGTTTGGTTTTGTTTGAGACAGGGTCTCACTTTGCAGTTCAGGCTGGCCTTGAACTGATTGTATAGCCCATGCTGCCACAAACTTGAGCCCGTTCTCCTGCCTCAGCCTTCTAAGTGCTGTGCCATCATGCCTCGCTCAACAAAACTGTTAGTAGTTGGTATGCTAATAGACCACGTATACCGTGACTTCCAGGTATCATTGTCATGTGAACAAATGTAAGACCATTTTTCTTGACTGAATTATTCTGGGGAGCATGATTTTCCTTTGTCATTTTCTTGTCCCCCTGTTAGAGAGCTAGAGTCGTGCCTGGGGAGTGGATGTGGGGTTGTAATCACTCTTGTCAGAGGCAGGAGGTACAGGAATTGGTGTGATAGTCAGCTATGGTCCTTGGATTGAACTATTGACTTTTATCAGCTAAATGATATTTAACTCATTTAAAAGTGGGGTGGGTATACCTGGCCATTCTGATTCTCAGGTATTAAATCTTTGATTATTTTGGGTAATTTTTTTTACTTTCATGATTTCTTTTCTTGAATCACTTCAGAGATATGTATGTGAAGCTATCCATCTTACTTTTTTTTTTTGGTACTGGGGATCAAACTCGGGTCCTTGCGCTTGAGAGGCAGGCAGCAGAACTACTGAGCTAAAGCCCTGGGCCCATCTTACTATTTTTTATGAATTCCTTTACATTGTCACTGGCCCCCTCAGTAGGAAGTGTCTTTATTTTATTTTTAAAAATTTATTTTTGCTGAGCTGGAGATCAAACCAAGGCCTCAAGTGTGTGATTTTAATGATATTTGATAGTTTGAGGTTAAGATATGGTGGCTCATTTTAGCAGGGCTGTGTATGTTGTCCCTATGGTGATTTCAGTCTCTTCTTTCTACTCTCCTCTAATGTTTATTTATAGTTGGCTATGCACTCACCTTAGTGCTTCACCCACCCCTCCCCCCCGCCCCAACCAGAATGACATTCCAGGGATCTAGAATGAGAATTGGTAAGCAAGCTTGTCAGGACTTTGTTTTTGATTGTGCGGATATTGGTTTTTTTGCCGTTTTTGTGGCAAATTTCAAGTTGTGCTGACTGTAAGTGTTCTGTATCTGTGCTTTTCATTATATAGTTGCTACACCAACCATGTGTGGCATTTTGACACTAGAAATGTGGCAAGTATGACCAAGGAACTAAACTTTTAAATTCACAACCACATGTAGCAAGTGGCAGCCAATTGGACAGAATGCTTCTAGACTTTAGTAATCCAAAAGTCTAATTTTACTCCCTTGTACTTAATCTTAGTATTTCATTGTGGTTTTGTTTTATATAGTGAGATGTGTCTTGAAAATGAACCCCTGTTAAGTCAATTTCCTTTTTTTTCTTTCTTTGTTTTTTGTGGTACTAGGATTGAATCCAGGGCCTTTATACTGATCTACATTCCTGGCTCTTTTGGGCTTTTATTTTGAGATAGGCTCTTACTACGTTGCCTAGACTGGACTTGAATTTGGAATCCTCTTGTCTCAGCCTCCCACTCTGCTGGGATTATAGGTGTGTGGTATCATACTCAGCTGGGAAGCTGCTTTTTATTCAGATTATTCTGTAGGCCTGAAGATCTCTCTAATGGTCAAGGCCACCATTTCTGATGAAGCTTTGCTCTTGGTGCTGCTGCTTCAGGCATGGCTGCATTGTCATTTTTATGAATTTTGATACTATTTACTCCCAAACAAGTGGCTGTGTGCAATTTGATAGTGGCTGCCATAGAGGGCCGAGGGAAAAAGTGGTGGATACAGCTAGCAGGGAAAAGGTTTGGAACTGAGAGTCCTTGGAAATCCTGTCCTAGCCTAAATGCTCTGAATCAGGTTATTCTTAATTTTATTTCCTTTATTTTATTTTATTCATAAATGTTTCTGATATATAAGTATATTATCCTAGGGAATTGGTACATAGATATATCAAATTTTGATCCTTTTTCTTCCCCTTCCCCTCCCTTCTCTCCCCCTTTCCCCCACCCCTATATTCCCTTCCCCTCTGCACAAACTATCTATCTCCCTGTTTCCTGTCTTTTATTGCTCCTAAATTATTTATACTTTGGGTTTCTCATATAACAAATCATGTGATATTTAACCTTCTGTGTCTGGTTCATTTTATTTAGTGTATGGTGTCAAGGTTCATTAATTTTCCTACAAATGATCAAATTTATGCTTCTGTATGGCTGAGTTTACTCCATTGTTTATATATACCACAGTTTCTTTTTTTTTTTGGCACCAGGATTGAACTCAGGACCTTGCCGCCTGCAAGGCAGGTGGCGGCACCACTGAGCTAAATCCCAGCCCTGTACCACAGTTTATCTATTCATCTGTTCATGGACATGTAGGCTACTTCCAAAACTTAGCTATTATGAGTTGTGCTGCTAATAACATGGGCATCCATGTATCACTGTAATATGTCTTCTCATATTTTAGGTTTTGCTTGAGGATCTCTTGTTTCATTTTTACAGTCTTGCAGTAAAAGTGTCCACCTCATTGGGATGGACAGGACTTAAACTTGAGGAACTTTATCAGTGATGCTGACATCTCTCTGACTCACACCCTTCCCTTATTAGTTTGGTGATCTTTCCAGTTAGGATTTTGGCATTAATGTCTATGGACTGCCTTCATCACCCACTCAGATGCTGCAAACGAAAGATAAGAGTCCCTTACTCTCAGGAATGAGCACATCCCAGGGAATTTAGTTCTGCTTCCTTTCCCCTTCGGTAATTTGATCTAGCATAAAAAAGACTACCGTAACCTGGCAATTGGATTTTTTTTAGCCACTGAAATAACTTATATTCTGAGAATGATTGGAACAGATGTATTTTAGTTTTTTTCTATGTTCATGGTGCATATACTTTGAAGAAAGTGGATGCATTTAATATTCTTATGAAATACTATAAAATAAGTAATTTATTTTTTAAAATCAAATTTCTAATAACAGAGCCAAGAACTTCAATAGTAGTAGGAAATCAATACTGGGGGTGTGGAATTTAATTTCAAGATTGTAGGGTGACTTAATTTGGTGGCCACATTGAAAACATTAAATTAAAAAATTTCTTTTTATGTGACCAAATGAAATGTGTAAGCTGTGGCAGTCCCTGTTTGTTTTTGTCCAGTAATTTGAAATTAGCTCACTCAGGAGGTCTAAAGAAATTGAGATTATAGACCTTGTTAATATATCTCCTCTTAGGCTGTTACGAATTCGTGGGAACAGCTGAAGAATTTAAGATTTTCTTAGTCTCTGAGACAGAAGTAGCAATAGAAGAAAGGCTTAGAAACTCAGTAAGAAAGTAAAAAGATAAAATGATCAGAACATTAATCAAGTATTAGCCAGAAAAATTTTAACAGTGGTGATTTTAAGAGATTTGAAAGGAAGTGATATCTATGGAAAATCATCAGATGACCATCTCTGGCCATCTTACTGGCCAGAAACTGCATGTAGTCTCACTCTTCCCTTTCTTTTGAAGGGTATTTAGTCCTGGTTGTCCATTCTCCTGTATTATTAGTCTCATAAACATGTTTAGAAAGACTTAGAGGCAGAGCAGTATAAAAAAGGCTGATTTGGGGTTTATACTTAATGTTTACACTATAGCTTTTACTATCTACCTAACTCAAATTATTAAACTTTAGGCATTAATTCCCTAATATGTAAACTAAATGTCATAGTATTTCAGGGCTGCCCATTCAGCCAGTGTTTATGCTTCTCTTTCTTGTAGCCCTTCCTCTCTTTCTTTGTAGAATCTTGGTGAAGTGAATTATAGTAAGTCATCTCTATCAAACTGCTTTTAAGAGTTGAAAAGGAAAAGAAAGTATCCATAAGTGAAAACTAATTATTTGTGGATTTAAAAAGAAAACTATCATATTTGCTTTCCTTTACATGCTTTAAGAAGTATCTTATAGTTGAGGTTCTCTTATAGATAGTTTTTTGGAAAGATTGCATTTAATTTATAAAACCATTTCTAAGGAAATATTTCTTAGCATAGTTTTCCATGTATCTTGGTATATTTTTAGTGCAGTTATGCTTGTATGATTATTTAATAATGTGTTTTTTCATGCCTGTCTTTATGGGCACAGTTTACCTTCTACAATTACCAATGTTGCTGTGGCTACTTCATCTGAGTTGGCAAATATCAGAACTCTGAGTACCAGTTTGAGAGAGATAGGGGAACTGTCCTTCCGGGGAAAGTAGTGACATTTTTATTTAACTCTAACATTTAAACGAAAATTTTAATCTAGTTCATGTTTTTACTTTCTTTGAAAGTAGCAAGACTACATTAAATCAGCTTTATAAGGTGTTTCTTTCAGCATTTAAGCTTCCTTTACTCCTCTTTGCCATGTTAGAAAGAAATGGGTGAGAAGTTCACTTGTCTGCAGAGGCAGCCCTGAGCCTGGTTGTGCCAGCCAAGTTAATCTCTCTTATCACAGGGTCTCATTGATGTTTGCTTAGAAGAGCAGCTGGAAGTCTGCTTTATGTATGGCAACCTTTCATAAAGTTTATTCTTGGTAATAAGGCTCCAGGGGCAAGAGCCAAGCTATTATAAGAGACAATCCTCTCTGAACAACAGCATTTTATTTTGTCAGCTGGAGTTAGTGTTTGAGTATCTTGTGCTTGTGACAGTATGCTGGTGAGTAAGGCAAACTATCTCTGAAGGGCCTTTTATCACTAGCATGAAATTAATGGCTTGGACTAGAAATGAGAGCGCTGCCTTAAGAGTTTTAATGTGAAGAGTTAAGTTGTTAGCCAGTGTTAACAGCTAACTTGGGAATTTTTAGTATTTCAGTAAAAAAGACACACTGTGAAGACTCTTTGATAACCCAAGACTGACCTCATTGTGTTGTCTTCTGTTTGTTTTACATATTTAAAGTTTCTTTTTGAAACTTTATAAACAGCTAAAATGAAATAAAGAACATGTCATGTATGGTACTTATTTTCCACAGTCCACTTGTGTTAATATAGTGCCAGGTCTTGAAGTTAACATCAGTAACATTAATCTAGGTAACGTTTACTGTTCATCTAATATATTGCTTTAATGATACTTCATGGCTCTCTTTTTTCAAGTGATAACTTGTCTTATAATTTTAATTTGACAGAATGTGTCAAATCAAGAGGTAGGACCCCAAAATAGCCAAAACAAAGTGGTAGTTATTTTTTATAATAATGATAAAAATGCTGTTTCTACTTTATCTTATCATAACCTGCTATATTCATGTTGTACTTTTGCATGCAATATTTAATGAACCTGAGGGCAGGCATATGAATTAGGCAAGGCATAGCATGGTAGCCCATTTTGTAGATGAGATAGCTGAGTCCATGATAAATGAAGTGCTTTGTGTGTAGTTCTTTGAAGTGGAAAATCTTGGCTTGTTAGATCCCAGCTTTTCTGGCTCATTGATCCAAAGAATAGAAGAGCCCCGCAGTGTTTTTACTTATTTTTTAGGTATAGAACTACCTATTGGTGGTAGTCAGATTGCCACCAGCAATGAGTAACAGACAACCATGAAGGCCAGTTGAGAAAAACTGAAGCAGACATAAATCCAAAAGCATCATGCAGTTTGGTGCCACTTTGTCAAAGAGTATAAGGCCCCCTATACTTAGTAGTTTCCAAGTAGTTGCTTTATCTTAACATCATAAAATAATTGCTATAGAAATAATTATTTTAGAAATGTGTACAGGAAGATATATTAAGTATTTTATTATCTTGATTCTTTATGATTTTTGGATAAATCAAGCATTGCTGTGTTAACCTCTTATGACTCAGGATTTTGACTAATGGTATTTTTTTTGTACTGGTCAAATTCTTCATAACTTTAGTATGACAATCTCATATTGCTTCTTGATCAGTCAATCAGTTTTCACTGAAATTATTTACAGCTTTTGTTTCTGACCCTCCTAAATATGAGAGTCATTGTCTGTAATACAGGATAATTTCTGGCCCTGCCTCTGACATAGGGCAGAGGCAGCGCTTGAAAGTACAGTGCTGTTCATTAGAAGTGGGAGGTAAAAGGTAATGCAGTTGGGGTAACCCTGAGACCTTAAAATCTGAAGCCAGGAGATAGGAACCTCCTGTCAGGGTAAGCAAGACATAAAGCTTGTGATCTCTGCTAGGCAGATTTGATCCCCCTTTCCTTTTTTCTTGTCCTGAAAAAGAGCTGTCCCCTTTCTCCCTTGGGAGCTCACTTTTGGCTTGCTTTCCTGGCTATCTTCATTACAATGCAATGCAAGAGCAACTTCATTGTAAGGGGATTTAATGGACAAATACTGCAAGTGAGTAAATGTGTTTGGAAATGAGTCTTAGACATTTTTTCATATGTTAATTCCCTTGTAAATAGGAAAAAATACTTTGTTGATACGGGTCAAAGTGCTTTTCTCCCTTAATGTATAATCAGTGCTTAATTATTCATTTTTCTCCAATGAATGAGTCTCTATTCATTTAGTACCTTTGAGTCAGACCAGTTAGTAAGTGTTTACCATGCTAATTTCATGTCCTTACAGAATTTTTTACTAAACTTTTGGTTTTTGAAAAGTAATAATTTCAGGTATGGTTAAAAACAATATGATTTCTGAATGCTGCATAGCAACTTATTTTTACACTTGATCTTAGCCAAAAGGCCGAGAAGCGATGCAACTTATTTTTATGTAGTAATTCTTTAAGTGCATATTTGAAAGAAAACATTTGGTTTTAAAGATTTCTCTTAGTATCATAAGTGTGAAGAAGAAAAAGAATATAAAAAGTATGCATGGATTGCATGGTATATAAATAATGTATATGTATGCATTAAGAAATTGGAAAGCCATATATAACTTGTATAAGATTAACCCCTGGATAATAGGATTGTAGCCAATTTTATTTTCCTTGTGCTTTTTTGTGCCTTTTAGTTTTTGTAAAACGAAGATATACTGTTGTTTTGTTTTTGTTTTTTTGTTTTTTTGGTATCAGGAATCAGACTCAGGGACTCGTGCTTGCCAGGCAGACACTGCACTGCTGAACTACATTCTCAGCCCTACTGTCGTTATTTTTGTAGGATAAGAACATAAAAACAACTATGTCCAAGTATCTAAGTCTATAATGAGATATATTTTGTTCCTGATTCTCATATATTAAAGAATATAATTGCTTTTATGAGTAAGAATATGCTCTCTTAGAGGGATAGTGCTACAACTCAAAAGCAGTTCTAAGGCCCTGGAGCTCATTTCTGAAGTTTGTAGCTAGAGGAGGCTTAAAAACCCTTCCTTGTTCTGAGCCACGTAACCTCAGCAAGGCTTGCACTTGTCTCTGCCTTGTCCCATTTTCCACTCATAGTTTTTACAGATTGAGTGTGAATACGTGGATATAATCTTAGGAATCTTTCACATGGAAATAAATGTTTATTGTTAGTATATGTTATAATTTACTAGACGTGTTTTGATGAAATTTTGAATATGGTAATCATAAAATATACCATGTTGTGCACATTGCAAATTACTTGTGGAAAATTATTATAGATCATTTATTTGTGAGGATCATGACATTTTGTACTTAATAGGTGCACCTGGATTTCTAGTTTGAATGTTTTCAAATAAGTTGCGAGTGAATTCTTTTTTTCAGTAAATTGACTAATCTGAGATTCTGAATTTAATTTTTTAGTAAGGCAAATTTTCCCAAACATTTAGACACCTGTTAATATGTCCTATTCGCTGAAATTTTGTTATGAAAGGATAGGTGAGAATCTAAGACTAAGATTGATATAGGACACTAAAACTTCCCTTCAGGATTGTAGGATCTTGGAATTCATTTGTTAGATTTTTGCAAGTAAATGTTTTCCTCTGAATGTAATTAATTTGATTTGAGACCAGTTTATTATTTTATTTAATGCCTGTTTTCCCCTCAAAGCCTAAGTATATTTTAAAATTTGTGCACAATTGATTGGATATTATTTAATCTATGAAGTGTGGAGTTCTACTACTTTAATCATTAATCACTATTTTAAAAGAAAGTCATGTTTTAAAATTCAGTTTTGTTAATTAAAAACTGAAGGTATTTTGTATTTGATAAGTTTCTAAAATCCCTTTAAACTGTAAAATGATATATGTGATAACCTGTTCTTTATGAAAGGTTTTGTGCCTGACTTCTCAGTTTCTTTTCAGGCCTTGCAAGTGGAATTAAACAGGCACACTTTTCTTGAAGATTTGTGCAGGACAAGACTTTTTATATTAAAATGAATGTATACTTTTTAATTAAAATTTTAAAATGTGAGGGGCTAGGGATGTAGCTCAGTGATAGAGGACTTACCTAGCATGCACAAGGCCCTGGGCTTGATCTCTAGCACCACCAGAACAAAACCAAAATGTGTGTATTTAAGCAAACTAGAACCATTTAGAGAACTTTTTTGATTGTAGAAGTCTCCATTGACTCCCCAGGGGATTTGCATTTACTTCTGGTGGTGTGGAAAAGTCTGGTAAACTACTTTAATGTATAGTGTAGTGTGTGTGCCATACAATATGCAGTCATGCTTATTTTGAGATTAAGAGGTGAATAGGCATTTTTTAACAGATTTTTAAAGGAAAATTTCAGATGAATAGAAAGGTAGATAAATAATAGTATATTGGTCACCCAACTAAACATCGTTTATTTTCAACAAATACTAAGTTGCACCAATATTTAGGAATTTAACTTTGTGTATATTTGCTATGATTTGCCAAGATAAGCATTTGTAAGGTCAAGGTACTAACATCAGAAGTATTTCTGAACAAAGATGTTGCAGTTGGTGGATGGGTCTGATTGTGTTCAGCTGTTGCAGAAGCTTGCAGAAATAGTATCATCTTGACTTTAATCTTTCGGGTGTTCAGAGGTAGTGTGCATATTTCTGTTTAACCCTTGGAAGTGTGCCAAAATAATTTGTATCCTTATCTCCATCCTTGGTACCTTTACTCTAGTCTATGAATAAGATTAATGAGTTGATATTCTAAGCCTACTGAATAGAACCAGTGATACGGAAATCTTCATTTATTATTTGAAAAGCTTTTTGGGTACTATCTAGTTATTTTGGAGACAAATTGTTTCACATTTATCAGTTTGGGAATGAATTTTATAAACATCAGAACATAGGAGTCAGACCTAGGTTCAAATCTTAGCTGGTCTTAAATAATTACTTAACCTTTCTAAGTCTCAATTCTTTCATATGTAAAGTAGGGATATGAGTTGTTTTACAAATTAAATGAACTAATGCACTCAACACTGATTTTTTTAATATGTCACTTAAATTGTGTAATCAAGTGGGAGGAATATGTCCTGAGTTCAAATCTTCAATAGATAACTGGATTTGAGAAGTACTGTTATTAGCACTTGCCAGAGCACTTTAGAAAGGAAAGCTAATCTTCATTTTATCATTTCTAGTTTTCTGACAGGGACCCATAACATCTAAAGATATAATAGATATATGTAGATATAGATAGAATATTGATAGAAAATGTTCCATTATGTTAGAACATAATATATTGAAACAAAGCATTGAAAAATTAATGCCTCACAATTATTTCTTATCACATACAGCAAACGCTGGCCTGTTCTATTCTAACTGCATTATTGAGTGAATTCTCAAGTTCAAGTAAGACTAGCAACATTGGACTGAGTATGGAATTCCATGGTAACTGCAAAAGAGTTTTTCAGGTATTGGTATTTTTGTTCTTGTGTTTTAATAATTGGACCATCCACTTTTTTCTTTTTGGTACTAGGGATCGAACTCAGGACCTTGTGTTTGCAAGGGAGGTATGGTGCCATTGAGCTAAATCCCCAGTCCTCGACCATACACTTTTTTTTTTTTTTTTTTTTTGGTGCTGGGGATTGAACTTGGGTCCTTGTGCTTGCGCGACCATACACTTTTAGCTAAATCTGTTCCTAATTGTTGAGAACATTTGTTTTATATAGTTGAGTAATAGCTTGTACCTGAGGATTTGTGTTGTGATTTTGTAGGATATAGCAAAGGATATAGATAGGTTTGGTGAATGTAGTTGACAGTTTAAAATTACTTGTTTAATTCTAGTCTTAAAAAGAGAATTGTCAGGGCCGGGGATTTAGCTCAGTGGTTCCACCGCCTGCCTTGCAAGCGGAAGGATCCGAGTTCGATCCCCGGTACCAAAAAAAAAAGAGAATTGTGATAAAGAGCTCATAGTTTATTATTTTTATGTTTAGATGTAACTAACTGAATTGAGAGGATTTTGCTGGCCTTAAAAATAAGCTTGGCAGAAGGCCATATATTAAAATGTTATTGCAGATGGTGTGGGCCCTTTGTCTCTCATGTGTATTGTTTAGCTCTGGAGTAAAGCTATGTGAAGGGACTGACTTAAATCCTAGGGCTGTGCACTATAGCAACTGACTCCTCAGGCTCTGCAGTACTGCCAAAGACTTGCTTCTCTATGGCGTAGCATTTATACTACAGTAAATAGTGTCACTTGAAAACATATTATGAAATTGTAAATTTTGAGTAGAGGCTTCAAGATGGAAAATGTTCTTAAGGAAATAGTGTTTGCCACTAGAAATTTTAAAGTTCTCATTTGTTTGATTTCATAGTTCTGAATGGGAATGTATTCTGAGTAAATTTTCAATATGAAAATATTTGTAATTGATTGATGATAGGAAGAAGACCTTCGCCAGATCTTCATGTTGACTGTTGAAGTTCTGCAGGAATTCAGTAGGCGGGAAAACCTCAACGCACAGATGTCCTCTGTGTTTCAGCGTTACCTTGCACTGGCCAATCAAGTCTTGAGCTGGAACTTTCTTCCTCCAAATTATATCCTTTTAACAACTGATGAGTTACTTGTGGTAATTTTCACAGATGACTTAATTATGGCTCAGATAATTTTATTCATATCTACAGGTTTTGTAAAGTATGATTTTTTTTTAAGAAATGGAATTTTACTTTATAATGCCACAGTGTAGTGGACTAAACAGAAGATTTAAAATTGGATTTACTACTTTGTAGAAGATGATTGAATACATGGAAACATTTGGTGGCTAATGGGGTTATTAACTTAGGCAGAGTAGTTTTTCTTGGGAAAGGAAAAAAAACGGAAAATGCATTTTTATGAAGAAATGGAACCTTGGATATATAATGACAGATTTTTTTAACTCACTTTCCTTCCATTTAATTTGGAGTATTTAATTTTCATGGATGTTATTCAAATATAGATAAGTCAGTAAAATGTTTTTTCTTTAAAGGCCTTTACAAATGTAAAAATGAAAATTTCAGCTTTGGGAAATACTAGTATACAAAATAAATTTAAATGTGTTACAGATACATGTACATATATGCTTTTTAAAAATCAGATACTAAGCTGGAGAAATTTGTATTTTAGAAAATAGTTCTTTAAGGTTTTTGATTTACTATTCTAGAATATCTGCCTGTTGATAGATTTATGCAGTAATATACTATATAGTAGCTACCCATTTGAGCATACTTAAATCAGACAGGCTTGGGTTCAAGCTTCAGCTGATCTTAGATAAAGTACTGAACCTTTTTCAATTATAATTTTTCCTAATACAAAAAGAAGATAGGGATTATTGTGTGAATTTAATGAGGCAGTATGTTTAAAACACTCAGAGTTAGGTAATATTTGTGGAGCTCTTAATAGTGTCCTTGAAGTAGTTCATCATATAGCTGGCTGTCTTCTTTCTGGATCTAATACTCTTCTATATGATATACTCTTCCATATGATATAGGAAATTTAATGTAACCTGTTCTAGGTATCTTTGATCAGCTCTTTCTTGGGGCTCTGGGCAGGTCTATTCAGGAAAAAAAGGACTGATAATAAGGAAATAAGAAATAGGTACTGAATCATATTAGGGATTTAGAATAAAACTAATCTTTTTTCCAACAGAGCCAAGAACTGCTACATTTGCATACACAAAGTTTAATTGTAGTAGTTGATAAAACTGTGAGATTTAAAGAGATAATTGTAAATTTTCTTTACTTTCAGCTTGTATGTAGTAGAAAACCCAACTGTGAAAGGTTGTAGGGGTGAAGTGAGTCTCCGACTCTCAACCTGTGCATTCTCCATTGTTCTTTCCTGAGGGCAGTGACAGAGGGGAGAGACTTACCATGAAGTTAATAACTTTCTTCTTTTGTCTGTTTTTTTGGCTTGCGAGGCAGGCGGCGGAACCACTGAGCTAAATCCCCAGTCCCCTGTTGTCTGTTCTTTTTGTTTGTTTTTTTGAGACAGGATCTTGCTTTGTGGGCCAGGCTGGCCTTGAACTCATAGCAATACTCTTGCCTTAGCCTCCCTAGTGCTGGGGCTGCAGGTGTGTGCCATTATGCCCAGTTTGTTTAATCATCTTTCTCTTAGTAACCACTTTTCTATCTTCAGTATATTAATTTAATTCTCTTGGTTTAAGAAGCACATATTCTTATCTTTGCTTTAAAAAAATTTCCCCTTTGAGTGTTGTAATATTTTTTTTTTCTTGGTACCAGGATTGAACTCAGGACCTTGTGCTTACCAGGCAGGAGAGGCACCGCTGAGTTAAATCCCTGGCCCCTGCAATATTATTTTTGCTCCCAATTTTGCTTTGTTTTTAAAAGATAGTAAGGCAGATTTTATTCAGAAGGGACCATAATTAGAGGTTTAGGGATCACTGTAACAGGATCCCTGGGGGAGAGAATAGACTCATCTCCCTGCTCCAATATTTTTTAGTAAAGAAAAAAGATGTTGAGAAACCTTAGGACAGATTGAAAAAGTATCAGACCATATGGAGCTATCAAAACATTAATTATATATGTAGAGAAAATCAACGAAAGTTACACTGCATATATTGTAGCCAATTTTAAAGTGTCTGTTTTAGGGGAAAGTGTAGTTGGCAGAGTGAGTATTTTGTAAAGGGAAACAGTTCTCTGGGAGTTTGGAAACAAAGTTTGTCTGAAAGATACACACATGAAATATATTTTAAAGCCTTTAGGTAAAGTTTTAGAAAAACCTGTCATCTGAGAATAAGTACTATTGCAGAACTGCCAAAGGAAGTAATTACTTGTTTAAAGAAAGTATATCTTGATCTTGAGGATAGTCTTCTACTTCATGGCTGTTGGGTACTTTTGTGACCATAGGTTGTTGTATAGTTCCATTAGTTGGCTGACCACTACAGCTAAATGTTCCTTCTTTTGAGCAGATCAGCTTTAGGCGTAAGAGAAAGAACTCTAGGTGGTGGCATTTAACTGTGCTACAGTTTTAATGCTAATAAAATCAATTTCAAGGTACCCAATTCTGATTGTAATTATGGAAATTGTGTAAAGATTACCATTTAATCTGTAGGGAAATAATTGAATAATTAGTTGGCTTAGTATCATGTAAAGAGATTAATTAAAATTTCACTAAGTTAAGGGGCTGGGGATTTAGCTCAGTGGTTCCACCGCCTGCCTCACAAGCGCAAGGTCCCGAGTTCGATCTCTGGTACCAAAAAAAAAAAATTACACTGAGTTAAAATGTGTTGATGGCTTTTAAAAATGATTTGTCTTTTAGAGTAGATGAATAACAAGTAGGCTTTGTAAAGTATTTGTGTACTCTGTGTAAAATATATTTGTTGTTTAGAATGGTGTCATGTTAAATGAAGCTATATTAAATTGTCAATATTAGTTCTCTTTCATAATTTTTTATAATCTGCTTTTTGTATCTTTGTTTTTATGTAATTTCGATTGTCATGAATAGCAGGGCATTCTCAGCTAAGATTCACCAGTTGTTCACATTTTGTCCCATTCTCTCTCCATGCACATACACAAATATATTAATTTACATATATGTGTGTATATATTTAAATTCTTTCTTGAAACTATTTGAGAGTTGTAGCAGACATTATGCTTAATTTATCTTGGAGCACTTCACTGTGTACTTGGCTAAAATCAAGGTTTTTGAAATTGTGCAATAGTTTTTATATGAAAATATCTTGCAAAACCATACAGTTTTCATTGCAAGAAGTTTATCATTAAGAAAATATTATTTGATCTATATTCTTTATTCAGATTTTGTCAGTTGGCTCAGTGTACATCTGCCTATTTTGGTTAATTTATATAAATATAATCTTATGTGGCCTTTTATGATTAGCTGCTTTTCACTTAGTGTGGTGTTTTCAAGATTCACGCATCTTGTATATTCTGATCTACTCCTAGGCATAGCACCTATCTTCAGACAGTACTTATTTTATTGGTATATAATATTCATTTTATTGCATGCCACATTTTTATTTACCATTCATCAGTTGATAGACTGTTGAGCTGTTTCCACATTTTGGCTAGTAAGAGTAGTGCTGCTACCAAGTGGAGTGAGAGGTTCCTCCCCTGACTTGAGCCCACAAGTTTAATGCCAGCTGGGTAACATAGTGAGACCCTTTCTTTTTTCTGTGGTGTCCTTTGAAGCTCAGGAACTTTTAGTTTTTATGATGTTCAGTTTATTAATTTTTTTTCATTTTTTTGTCATATCTCAAAAATCATGCCTGAGTCACGGTCACTAAGATTTCTATTTATGGTTCTTCTGTGACTTCTTATATATGTCTTTGATCCATTCTGAGTTAATTTTTATATATGGAATGATATAAAGATTCAACTTCAGTACTTATATCCAGTTGTACCAGCAGATAACTGTTGATTAGAAAGATATGAGAGGGTGGGTAGAGTGAGAAATACCTGAGAAAACACCATGTTGGTAAATGGTTGCTATCTCTTGTCAGTATGTATCTGCTATCTCAGTTGCTCCAGCGTAACTTTTCAATTGGGAATACAAATGAATCCATACAAGGAGAAATTATTTATTTGAATCACTCTGAATAAATTTAAATATGCATGCTCAACCTTTATAGTTAGTAAGTACTGCATAAATACTTTTTTGGCAAGTAAAAGGATGTGACTGTAAACCAAAATGTGTATTAGAGAACTGGAAAAGTAGCTCAGTAATAAAGCACTTGTCTGTCAGGCATGAGGCCCTGGATTCAGTCACCAGTACCATTAGAAAAATAAAAGGAGGAGAACCAAAGTATCTGTTAGGTTGTATAGAAGGAAGGTTTGAGGCCTTAGCTACCACAGACTTTGGAAATTTCTTATAGAGTACTACATTATATAAAATGTGACAGTGTCATTGGGAAAACCAGTTGAAGCTGACTGTATGTGTGGAGCTAGGATGTGCAGAGATGTATAGACAAAAGAATGCAAAGATTAGATATTTAGGGATTTGTTACTACCTAAGCATTTATGAATACTTAAGGATTATACTGTGGTATTTAATAACTAGTTTTGTGTTCTTAGGTCAAGATTTATGTATGTACAAAATTTCATTGTAGTAGTGATTCTGAGTTGAGGGCCATTTTGCCCACCTGGAACATTTTACAGAGTATGAAGAAAAAATTTAGTTGCCACAACTGGAGAAGTGCTACAAGGAACTAGTGGGTAAGGGCTAAGATACTGCTAGATGTCCCACAATGCACAGGACAACCCCTACAATAATTGGGTCCAAAATGTCAGTAGTCATCCACATAAAAACTTGTACTTGGAGGGAAAAAAAAACCCTTCACACTATTAATGATGTTATAATAAACATCTCTTTAAATTTGCAAAAAACAAAAACTTGTACTTGGGTGTTTTTATAATGGTCAAAAAGTAGAAAAAAATGACATGTCCATCAATTGATAAATGGATAAATGAAATATTTATCCATTGCATATAATGAAATAGTTTTCATCAGTTAAAAGGAATGAAAGCAGTACTCATAGTCAACAGCCATTGTAAGCTTTGAAAACATTGTAATAAGTGAAAGAAAC